GCTGGTAAAGGTGCAGCTAGTTTGAATGACTTTGTATACTGCAGAGTAGCTTGTGAATTTACTCCAGGTGGAACTAAAGTCTGATTTAACACTTGATTATATTTCACATCATTCATCCACATCTGTAAAGTAACTAAAGGTATTAAATACATGTAGTGGAGTCAAAGTACACCATTTACCTCTGACTTGTGTTTACTGCCAACCTAAAAGTACCTCAAAAATAGTAATCAATAATATATTGAAAAGTTATTTGGCTGATTGTTTTATATTGGCTCAGCCAGGTGATATGGGATGCCCAGTCTACGTACAGATGGGTCACTCAATATTAAACTTAGTTTTCTTTTCTAACATTTTTAATTTGTCATCCTCATGTAGAATGCTATTATGAAACACACATTTGGTTGTTTATAGCATAAAGAACATCTGATTTAATGTGAGGTAGGGAAATAATCATTTGAGTATAAGTATGTGTATATAAATATGTAATTTATAACAGCTGTAAGATGCTAGAAAAGCTTGAAAATGCACCTTGAAAATGCTTGAAAAGTGCTTGAATTTGACTTTGGAAAAGGTGTAAGAACCCTGATCTAAGTTAATGAGTAGACTTAATGATAACAGAAAAACCTCTCACTATCAAGCGGCATTCACATGATAAGCGACATATCGTCTCTGCATTGGCTTTGCCGGTGTGTTTCCATGGCTAGGTGTCAGCGCTTCCCTCATTGCCGCTCACGTCTTGAAATTGACGCAGGGCGTTGCACGAAAGGTTCAAATGATTTCAACTTTGACCTAGTAGTTACCCCTGACCTTTCGACACGCAACCAATGATATGATAGCTCTATGTAGCGGACAAGCTAGCTGGGGATGTAACCATAGAAACAAAAATATACTAGCTATTTTCATTGCAAGGCTCTGCAACCAACCTTGCGGTGAGCAAAGAGCAAATTGCTTATCATGTGAATGCAATGTTAGGCAATATCATTCAACAGCAACACAAACTGCAGCCTCCAAAATAAAGTCAACATTTTTCGAAAGCAGTTTCCACCAATAATTGCACACGATGACCTTCATGACTGTAGGATATGTTGCAGTGTTGATGTTTCATCTGCATTAGCTTTAGTTAGGAGTGGCTAATGAACTGGCAACAGATTATTGTTGACATAACATACAAAATAGAATATCTCCAGATTTGATCTGTGGACACTTGAAGTTTAAAAAACAACCTTGGTTTAATCTGTTTCAGTTTTCTTTGTAATATGTTTTTTTCTAAGAATAATTTAAAAGATTGAAGAATCTCTATGTTGTTTTAGGAATGCTTCCTCTTTTAGATGAAGTTGACACTTGATGAAAAGGGAGGTGTGTTTTGTTTTTAGAAACCGTGTAACCTTGTTAAAGATGTGATGAAACGATGATAATGCTGCTGTTGTTGAAAGGTTGATGTTTTCTGTGTTTTTAGGAGCCACGACAAACACATTCACACGTTGTTTTGTTGTTGAGAGGACGTCAGGCTGTCATTCCTCAGCCACGCAACAATTTCAAGGAAATAAATGCCTGTTGACTTTTTTTTTTGCTTTAGGACAGAATTGCATAGTGAGTTTATGTAGATGGTTTTGCCCAAAACTGGATTTATGCGATGGATTTATTATTATAAAATTCACCTGAAGTGAACTTTCACAACATTGATGGCTGATGGCAGCAACATAGATCGTTTTTCCAATCATCAGGATGACATGCATTACAATGATTAGGATTACATTTGTACAACATCATGTTTATCTGAACATTTAAAAAGGGGGCAGCACGAGTTGTGAAATCATCAGAAATGAATTCAGTGTGAAGGACATCGTGCAGCTTGTTTGCTGAATGTGCACATCACACACTTACACCGAAGCCTCCACCAGCTCTCCATCCTTCTTCCATACCAAATGTCACTCTACATGCATAATAATGTGGAGGGCCTTCCTCCCCTCACCCCCCTCCCAAATACCTCTGCTGGCCCCAGACACACACACACAGAGGCGGCCTCTTCCTGAAAGAAAGTGCATGGTAATCAGAAGGAGTGGGCGAATCGATGGACTGCACTCCTTGAAAGGCGTAAATGGGACGGGGGGAGGGGCGGTGGGTGATGGAGGGCGGCATGGAGCTCAAATTGATGTGAGGTTGCTGAAAATGAAGATGGCAGCACGAGACAAAAGAGAGGGCTGGTCCAGGCCCCCGAGAGGAGAACAGAGGGAAGGGACGCAAATTGATTTGTCTGGGGGATGGGAAGAGCAAGGGGAGAAAGGAGAAGGGGGAATATATGGGGGAGGGGCGAAGAGGAGATGAAAATGAACGTGGTGGAATACATTAGGAAAAGCAAAATATTCTGCCAGGTGGCTGAAGTCCTATAATTGCCTCGATATTAACTCTGTAATCATCAAAACCAGATAACATGCTTCTGCTCCTGAGCTTTTATGAGTTTCACTTTTCTGTGCTTTTTTTTGTTCCCAACTTATTTATTTTACCAGGTTCCACCCATAAAGGCTTGTTACTGTGGTCAGCTTCATATATATATATATATATATACATATTATTCGATCTCTCTCTCTCGACATCGAATAATGAAAGTTAAAAGTGGATTTTTTGTTTAAAAGTGGATTTTTGTGTTACTGGTTTATGATACGTTTTGACAATAGATAAAACGGTTCACATTCTGTGCATAACCTTTTTTAAGATTGAAACTTTTCCCTTTCTACACCTCTTTCCAAATAAAATAGCTTTTATACGATGCAGAATTGTTCACCTTTCTTCATTCTAATTCTACTCATAATGAACGAAGATGCTATAAATCCGGCAGTAGTTCAGGAAAAGCATGCTTGTGATGGATAATATATTTTTGTTCACAGGTTTTTGGAATATTTCTATTATCAAGTGACTTGAAGAATTTGGCTCAGCACTAAAACTCACTAAACCGTTTGTAGAAATATTCACCTTAATGTTTGACATTGCCCTGTGAGTTTTCAGTTATAGTTATCAAAGGTCTGAGTCTGTGCGCTCTCCTTGGCGTGTGCTGGAAAGTGGTTAGACCTAGTGATCTCACCACTGTGTTTACCACATTGGGTGCATTTCAAGGTGATGTGGTTTTATCTGACTTCTGATCTGTATGTGTGCGTGTGTGTGAGAGAGTGTGTAGTTCTCACAGTGTGGAAGTACAGAGTCATTGTGCTAAGGGCTTGTCATGAGTTGCACAGTTTCTCTTGGCTCTATATGTTCCCTTCCTCTCTCAGTAATGCAGTCCCAATATCAAATGATCTGTCTGACATTGTGGCCTATTTCAGTATTGTGGTGATTTTGGTGATGTCTCGGATTAGTTTGAACCGGTGTTTAACTATGTGGAAATAATGTGAGTCCATCTCATTATACATGGACACAAGGCCCATGTATGTCTCACTGAAGAAAACGTCTGAGGTTACTTTTACAACCCTTTGTTAACTTCCAATCTGGCAATGTGAGCCTAAACTTAAGTTAGCAAATAAGAAAGTAAAACACCCACTTCCTTCGCTCTTGATTTGAAGTGTTACGTAACGTCCACACGGTTCCGTTGCGTGCTTCAACGGAGACGCTTCCCATTCCCTTTAGTGTGACGTCAAGCTTTGCCGAACTGCATTGTGGTTCCGTCGCGTCGCTTTGCCTCCGTTGCTCGCTTCGAAAGTTGAGAAAAGTTCAACTTTTCAAGTGTCGACGGAAGCGCCAGCCAATCAAATCATATGCCAGTACAAGCGCTAGCCAATCAAACCGCGTGCTTGTGAGTCCGGGGCGGGAGATTCATGTGATTGGTTGTTGGTCGCGCGCCAGACACGCCTACCGGCAAGCTTCAACGCGACAAAACCGTGTGGACGTACCGTTAGTGCTTGTTTCCATGGCAGTGATGCCTGATGGGACCTGATATATTGTCCCAACTGACATTGTGCAACTGATATTCCTTGTTCCTCCTGTCAGCTCATCTTAAGATGAAAAGTTCAAGCTAGTTTGTTTCCAGGGGATATTTCTGTTTCTGCTCGGTGCTTAGAGAACAGCAGATGGAGGGATTAGAGTTTGATGTTTATGCTCCAAGACCTCAGACCTGAGACCTCACTTGACCTGAAGAGTTCAGCTGCTGTCAGGATGTGTGTCTGTCAAGTGAATGGTTGCAGGAAAAAAACAACTGCTTTATATTGGTGCTGCAACTAAAGAGAACTTTCATTATTGATTAATCTGCCGAATGTTGTCTAGGTTAATTGATTGTTTGGTCTATTAATTGTCAGAAAATAGTGAAAAATGCCCATCGCAGTTTGAACTTGTCATGTGAATAGAGTGTCTCAGATCAGTGTGTGGATGGCTCCTCGTGTTGTACAGACACAGCAGCACGTGTCCATCACCGCTGACCTCAAAGCCACACATGAATGTGAGGAATGCAGACTGAGGGGTCAGATCAGATTCATAGGTGGCCTGGTTTCTCTGGCCTTATGGTGTGTGGTACCAAGGTGCAGTCACATGACCACAGGACCACTAGAGTCAAGGTCACATGGTGTTCGTTGGGCTCTTTGATGTTACATGTCATGGAGAGGGATTCATTCAAATGTGTTATCCAGTGCTGATGCCAATACAGATTGTGATTCATGAACACTGAATGCTCCTTACAATTCTGACTAGGGTTGGGTAATAGTTAGAATTTTACCGTTTTCAATTCAAATTCTGATTCCGGTTATGCTTATCGATACCGGTTCTTAAAATGTACCAAGACAGTTGTTACCTAGCATCATTTGGTAACATCTGTCATGGTACATTCTTAACATGATGATGACACTCCATTGGGTCCCAGGTTTTTCAATTTTTTTAATAAACCAATTGCAGTTTAGTATGTAGAAATAGAACACATCTATCTGAAAGGCCATCTAAAAACAAAACTCTTTATTCAAAATGGCAGACACATTGTTTAGTTATACTGGTGGTTAACTAGTCCCTCTGTCTCTCTCTTCCAGCATACCTCCCTGTCGGCCAGCCGCTCAGAGAAGGGTACCGGCTGGTCGAGCCGCTCACTTGGTGCTCGATGTCGTAACTCCATCGCCTTGTGCTCAGATGAGCAGCCGCACATCGGAAACTACCGGCTGCTCAAAACCATCGGCAAGGGCAACTTCGCCAAGGTCAAGCTGGCACGACACATCCTGACCGGCAGAGAGGTGAGTGAAAAGAACCAGGAAGAGGTTCCCAGGTGTCTGGAAAAACCTGGCAGACAGTCGACACATGTTCTAGTCACTGAAAAGTTGTGGAATATGCTAAAAATCTTGCTTTAATGTTGGGGTAACTACATGAGCACACTCCTAAGGCTTGTCACATGATAAAACACATGCCGATGACTTAGCATAACATGACTTTCTTCCCAACTAGTTTAAAGGGATGAATAGTGTTTAAATGATTAGCTCTTTGGTCTGGCTGCTAAAGTTAACAAGCTTGCTTGCTGGTTTTGCCTAAAAATGTTTGTGGTTTGTGATTCAACTTTGGCCAGAAGCAATGGTTTCTAATGTGTCTTAGGCATTGTATAACATCAAATAAAACATGAATATATGTGATGCTAGTAATCAGCAGCGAACCGCTTCAACACGTGTATTTCGGTTTATTCACGGCATTCATTTAGTTATTCTACAGTATTGTTGTTTTATAGTTATTTGTTAATGTAACCCAATTTGTGTTCTTTGAAATTGAAAAGGATATCGCATTGTGTTTGTTACTTTCGTTGCAGTTGTATATGTCTTAAGTGTAATTTGGCTTGGCTTCCTATTTTGTATGGACATGCTTTTATTTTGAAGGAGAGTTAGCACTGTTGACAGGAAGTTGGTGTTGCTATGGAAACAACGTGACGGAGATTAACGGAGAAAAAGTAATATCTTCTACATTATAAAGACGGAGAAAGTAAACGATAACGTTTATGGTTAAGTGTTAGCACCCCCCGAAGAGGCACAAGCTCTTATGTTGATATTGGAGTTTTCAACAAACAACGAATATCCGAATAACGAAATTGAAACCCGAATAGTACTCCAACGAACGAATATTCGGATATTCGGGTACAGCCCTACTGTCATACCAGCTATCCTGGAATTTGATCCCTAGGGATACATGGGAATGCTTGAATACTGCCAAACGTATCACTTCACTGCAAGTAACAAGTCATGCATGCTGGGAATGATGTGGCTGAAGGAAAAGAGTGGAGGGTTTGGGAGCAGAACAGAGCAGTACCCTGTGACTCAGCCCACAGAAGGAGTTTTAAAGGACTATTCCACAGAGTTCAGAGCACCTTCTGTTCCCTTACAGCCAGCCAAAACATCCTGCCTAAGCACAATCCAAGTCTTTGAAGAGACACAGCCAGGTTTTACTTGTGTGTGTTTAAATATACTGTAGTCTTTCTTCTCGTAAAAACCTGACCTACATTAGTTGAGTGAATGTGTCCATAGGGCTCAGTGAAGCTGTGTGTGTCTGCCGCTGGCTGCATCATGTGAAAGCTGTTGTGTTCCAACCGTATAAAGCGGAAGACAGTCATACAGTGGTGTTTGACGCAGTCTGTGACCCGGTCATCACATGTTGTTAAGCCCCTTATGAAGACTTGTTTGTTTGTTTAGTGGATTTGATCTCATGTGTTCTTCACAGGCTGCAACACACTGTCATTTCAACTGTTGGTCAGCGCTGCAGTGTGCTTTTGTTTTGTTCTAGTTCATCTTGTGAACTGTAGATAATAGAAATTGTAATGCATGATTTATGTAATCCAGAGAGCATTGTTCAGTAGTTGCAAGACTGTTAAGGGCAAAGACAGCCTCATGCAGATTTTAGACTAAAATAGTTCATGATAAATACAAATAGGGCTGAAGCTATGAGTAGGTAATACAAAAACTTATCAGCAAATAAGTTGATCAATTAGTAATATAAAGCCAAATTCGATCCTTCAATATTATCTGATTTTTATTTGACAAAAAGATTAATTAGGAAAATAATCAGCAGATGAATTACCAATGAAAATAATGAAAAAGGGAATCCCTGTGAACCCCAAGCAGTTTTAGAGTGACGTAAGGGTTTTCTACGGAAACAACACAAATATGGTTAGAAATATGGAGAAGTCTTAAATATCTTAGACTTTTTTACATTGTCTTAATTTCTTTATCTGTTGTTTCCTTCCAGGTTGCAATAAAGATCATCGATAAAACCCAACTTAACCCAACCAGCCTGCAGAAGGTGAGTGAAAAGCAACTCAGTGTGTTTGTGTAAGTGTGTGTTTAGTAGTATTTGTGTAAAGATGAATCAAAGACAGGAAGAAGTATACTCAGCTATCTGTTTCTTCTTGGTGCTTATTATTTTTGTAATATTGTCTTAACGGTTACTATAAAAACATCATAACTGTTGTCCTATTTTTATGTTTTTTGTGATCCCTGTCACCTCCAGCTTACCTCATGTTATCGCTGTAACTCGAAGTGTCCTTAGGCAAGAATGAACACACACATTGCTCCTGATGGCAGAGCCAATAGTGGGTGTGAATGTTTAACACTCCTGATTAGCAGGTGGCATCTTGTATAACAGACTCTGTCACTACTGTGTGAATACTGACTTCAGTTGTAAAAGGGCTTTAAAAAGTCAACAAGATTAGAAAAGCATTATATAAATGCAATCCATTAAGCATGTGACCTCTTTAACTACATGATATATGTGAATGCATCACATGTAATGGCAGTCTGTGTCCTGAGTGTGTTTATTTGCAATTGCGTTGCATCACAGAAGCATTTTTTGATGTTGTTTTGCCTCGGGTTATAGCCCTCAGATTGCTGCTGCGTGCAGCAGTCATTCTGAACTTTGACCTTTGCGTTGTTATGTGAAACAACACAAAGGCTGCAGGAGCTGAGAAATGTTGCATTAGTTCTGGGAGGGTTTGTTAAATGTTGATACTTGGGAAGATGCCTCTTTCCAAGTTCAGCTGTCCCTCTTCTGTTTGATAAAACACCTTCCTGTCCAGTTATATGGGTCATTTTATGGAGGCATTTCAATAAGCTAGAGGCATTGAGTTCTACTTTGTGTCAGTATCACATAACCATCATGTGTGCACACAGCCCTCTAACTAGGTTAAATGATCATGTACGTCACTGTATGCTTGTCTAGGTGAGCTGCCCTCATGGCTCTAATGAGATGATTCCCTTCTGTCTGAACTTGGCCTGCCCCGCTGTTTGTGTGCTTGATGCATGTGTTCATTGAGAGCGATCTAATGAAACCAAATCGAGTGAGAAACAGCCTCAGGCCTGCTTCCTGTTTTCAAACAGTTATAGATGCTTTGTTTTCCTCATCTGGCTTTGTTAGTGGAATGTTCACGATGGGTTGGTGTCTGGGCTGTTGAGAATACATGTTAGGTGTAACTTTTGGGACCCCCTCGAAAACAAGATCATTCATCTCAAGGGGCCATCCTTAAATAAAGTTGAATACGCTTTTATTTTAAATTGTCTTCAACTGCTTTCTTTTCTTTGCTTTGTGTGGAAGATAAGCATATTGGTGTTTATGTTCATGTTGTCAATGCAGGTTAAGTTTCTAATAGAGGGGAAATGATATCTTACATTTCACTGGACATATTGTACTGCCTGAGAGGGAGCTATCTCTAAGTGTGGTTTGAATGTTAAGCAGCATTACACATGGGTTGATCTTCCATGTTAGTTCAGATATAGGTTTGATCTTGAAACAGTTGACTGTTTCAAATTATTTAAAAAATACTCCCCCCAGGGTTTTCTAGGATTGCTGCCAACTTTAATTTCCATTATTGATTCATCTGTTGATTCTTTTTTCCGTTTATTGATCGATACATTTTTTGTCAGATAAATGTCAGATTTGTTTTGTGATTTCTTGTGGCGTTCAAATGTAATGTATATCGACAGTCAATTTACAATGAACAAGGATGTAAAACTGAGAAAATAAAAAAGATACTAACGTTAGGAAACTGTTACCTGTAAATGTTTAGCACTTTTTACCTTTAGGAATGTCTAAAAACAATGAACTGATCACAGTGGAGGCTAATTATTAATGCCATCTACTACTGTTGGTTTTTCCCACCTTTTCCCTTTTGCCTCAGGCCTCCGTCATTGTGTCTCTTGGTCACTCAGAGGCAGTGTTAACCTTGTGTGTGGTGTGTGTTCTCACAGTTCACACAAGTCCCTCTTTGTTCAGAAGTGGCTCTGCTGACCAAACGGTGGCCTGTTTGATTATGAGCTTCTTTATCGTCACCTTCACTGCTACAAATACCCTCCAGTGCATCATCAAATCGATACTGCATCACACAGCCTATTGATGATTCTCAGCTGGTTAGCTAACCGTCCGGGCCGGGCTGGGACTCTATTGATGACACAGCCGGTTATTGATGGTGTCTGGCTTGGTGCTATAGTTGGTCCACATAGCCTAGATACTGGCAGGATTTATAACACTGCTCCTCTGACTATTCACGTAGAAATAAGAGTAGATTCTCTCATTCTGTTAGATCAATGCCATTCCTTTTAGTTTGAGTTCCACTTCTAATTTTAATTCAAAGGATTATTTTAAAAGGTAATTGTATATCTATCATGTTCCTGTTCAGCCACAGCTCCTCTCTGTTATGTTTTCTGTCCCCGTATTCAACTGGGAAATAGCATCAGCTAACTGCATGAACATCACATTTCTTCTCTGACAACTATTCCTTACCTTGATTTAAGAGGATATAAAGGAGAAAGGGTCTCACTACCAGACATTCCCACACTGGAAGAAGTCTGAGTCCATCCTTAACGAAGCTTGGGATGAGCAAATATATTTGAACACAAGAATGTGCAAGGTAACAAAACAGTGTACAGTAAATAAAAAAATGTAAATGTTCACAATTTGATTCCGACCCGCAGTACCTGCATACTAAACAAAGATCTTGAGGACCCTCACAAATCTTGCAACCTTTAAATTGTTTGTGTTTGTGAGAAAATAAACACAGATGGTATCCAATCGTTACTGTGAAATCGAAACCTTCAGTTTTGGCCGTTCTATTTCAACATATTTCAGCCTAGTATGGATTATTTGGGAAATGGATAGATATTACTTTCTGCTACATTGCAAATAATGAAAGGGGTCATTAACAAAAGGCTGCATTGCTGCAAGCGGATTGTATCCTGGTTTAACACCTAAACAAGGTGATACAAATGCTTTTTCATCTTTTATAAAGAACTATTTTGCAGTATTAATCTACAACAACACAACTCGCTGCAGAGTCACATTCTGTTATCTCCACCTGATAAACTATTGACTCTAGTTAACAGAGGTGAAGGATGATGTCTGTATATTTGGTTGTTCTGCTGTGGGAACACACACCTTTTTGTGTTAAACACCGTTTCTGGAATTCACCTTTTTTTCTCTTCTCTCAGCACATCATTTGCTTCCTGTTTTACTTTGACATGCTTCTCAATTACACCATGTGCCCTCCAACTCTTTAAGCTTAGACCTTGGGGGGGCGTGTGTGTGTGTGTGTGTGTGTGTGTGTGTGTGTGTGGTGTGTGTGTGTGTGTGTGTGTGTGTGTGTGTGTGTGTGTGTGTGTGTGTGTGTGTGTGTGTGTGTGGTGTGTGTGTGTGTGTGTGTGTGTGTGTGTGTGTGTGTGTGTGTGTGTGTGTGTGTGTGTGTGTGTGTGTGTGTGTGTGTGTGTGTGTGTGTGTGTGTGTGTGTGTGTGTGTGTGTGTGTGGTGCAGCAGCAGCAGAGTGGTAGTGGTCCGGTGCTGCATAGCGCAGTGTGTCCTGTCCTGTCAGCAGTATTGTAGATAATGTCACCTGACAGCTTGGTGTCCTACACTGTGTCTCTTTGTCTCTTTGTCAGATCACCGCTCTCTCACTGTCTCTTTGCATGCCTTTACTTACTCAAAACATTTGAAAACTAGGCCAATTCAGCTATTGTTTACTCAATTCATCATTTAGTGCATAAATGTTCCGTTAATATTCTCGCTTGTCAGCCAACACAATAAGTTATTAAATTGTATGTAAATGTTTTTAGTATGTCAAATGTGAAGTTCTGAGTGACCTACCCAGGTGACGTCTTTAAATGGCCCATCACAAAGCCCACGAAAAAATATGTTTTAAAATATCTGCCATGCAAAACAGATTGTATAACAACTTGATCAGTATTATTTGGCAATTTTGCTTAATTTGAATTGAAACAATTCATTATTCATCAACATTGTTGCCAATTTATTTTTGAAAGCTGATTTATAAAAGCTTGAATAAAATATATGTCTTCACTTAAAGCGCCCCTATTCTGCTTTTTGGGGTGTTCCCTCTCCTGTAGTGTGTTCTATAGGTTTGTGTGCATGTAAACGATCAGCAGAGGCTAACATCCCTGTGGACAAAATGACATCGCTATGTAACACTTGTGCTTCTATTGGATAGGGCTCCAATGCATTGTAGGTGATAGGCTGAGAGGCGGGACATCTTTATGCAGTTGACCAATCACAACAGAGCTCGCCAGCTAACCAATCAGAGCAGACTGAGCTCTGGTTTCAGACAGAGGGTGAAAAGAGGTGCTGCAGCACAGGCAGTATGAGAAAAAGAGCTTTTTGAACATTAAAGCATGGAGACATGTCCCAGTAGAGACACTACATGTGAACCTCCTCTTTACAGTTATGTGTATATTACAATACATTGAGCTGAGATACTTTTATAAACAACATATTTACATATTGGATCTCTGGGTTCTCTGAGAGGCTGGACTTTTTGAAATATGATGTCAGAAAAAGTCCAATCCCTATCTCTCGTAATAAACATGAACTAATGTGTCTTTGGATGCAAAGCATGAACAAGTGCATCATAAGCTAATGTTAAGGTGTGTTTGTCCAGCATTAGTCAGACTTTTGTTTTCATTGGCAGATATGCCTCTGTGTACCTAAAATGGAAATGCACATCATTTCGAATTTGAATTCCCGCGACATTAGTATTCAATATATATTTACAGTTTGCTTGAAATGAAAGCACACAGTTGCTAATGCTGTATCTTTCTTTGTTTTCTCCTCTTCACATTCAGTTTCGCCTCAGTCTATAGTCTGTAGACTTCTTCCCTGTATTGTAGCTTTATATGGCCCACTTCTCTCCATCGCTCCCTCTCTCTTCTCCTCACAATTTTTATTTTCTCTTTATGAACCCTCTATTTTATTGTCTTTACTCCACATGTCCCACTTCTCTCTGCTTCGTCCCCGGGGGTTGTGTA